GCTCTAGCGGCTGCAGGTGAAGTATATAACTTTCAAATGCTTCTCCAACTATTAATCAACGACTGCCTGGTGCACTTCAGAGCAGAGGAGTCTCCTGCAGAAGTGCCAATATCTGACTGTTCGCGCACAAAATTTGCTCTCGAGGGAAAAAAATATTTTCAAACTGGACCTGATTTAGTAAAAGAGTGATCACTTGGGTTGCACTGACTGCATGCTGACAAGAAAATCTGAAAAGAATATTTGCCTGTCAGGCAATTTCTGACAGGGGTTCAAAAATGTCATGGTATCATTATTCCCCACAAAATTTAGTCTAAAGAAAGCTGTGAGTGTTTGAGGGTTGAAAGCTTGTGTTTTCAGGAGCGCAGCTGAAAAAATTCATGAAAAAACGGTCCACAGGCTAGGTATTCGTGAGAAAGCTTTAACCTTCTAGTTCTCTCCAAAAGGAACAAGAATTGCGATAAAGTGAATCTAAAGAAATCTATATTCCTTGGAAAGCCAGAAACCCGCTTGCGCACAGAAGACGATGTAACGGGGTGATTTTCTTAAGAAATGAAACCGTACAAAAGCTTGTGTATATTTTCGGTTTCAAATGAAGAAGTGCGCATTTTTGTGAATTCCCAATTCTCTACCCCATAACTAACAAATTTTGAAGATGTAACACAAAGATGGTAATTTTCTGAAACTAGCAGTCTCCTAGATTACAATTGCTTAGCATTTAAAAAAATGTTGATATTGAACAAATTACCCTTATTTGAAAGTCAATAGTCGTTCGGTCTATCCCGCGCTGCGCCGAGGGGAAGATTGCGCGCGCAATGCGAACGCAACGCTCCGTGCTGAATTCGGACACTTCTGTATTAGACTCTCGTGCTGAGATGCGCCATGCACTCGTTTGCAATTCAAAGTCCAATAAATAGTCCAGTTCATTCCAATATTTTCATTTTGATATGTGCTCGTGTACTAAAGTGCAAATATTTTTGTGACTGACGACGGCCTCCAAGTAAATCTGATTACTAGTGGTTCATAGTGATAGTTTCTGATTTTTAGTAAATGATAGTTGTAATTAGTGTCAACTGATAGAATACAACTGCAACAGGTTAATCATTTCATTGGCAAAAAACATTTGCATTTTCTGGAGGCCGTCGTCACTTGTGGTGTATGGTCTGCACCCGACACTTTCTGGCTTTTGAAGGGGAGGCTATGTGAATAGGTAATCTCCACGCTTTCTTTTCTTCCCAAAATAATTATAGAGATTCAAGTTGTTGTGCATTTTCAACAAAAAATAAGCGGAAGTAAGGTGAGGACGGCGCGCTCGCAAAATCGCTCCTGTCCCACGCGGTGCAAAATGCCAAAACACGCGATATCGTCAGCGTGTTAATATCATCCTATCAGCAGATCCACAATGGTACGATGGATAGGTGACACCTGCAGAAAATTTGGTCAGAAAATCGTCCATAAGGGTCATTTGACCAGCTGAGCGCGAATCTCACATTTGTTTGACACGAGAGCTCTAACGCGTGTGCTATGGTTGCTACGGGCAGTAGTTTGCCAGCGGTGCCCAGATTGGTTAAATTTTTTACGCGTTGATGCTTCAGCGCCTTTTCTTTAAAAACACGTCGTTAAAAACAAGTCCCTTTAAAAAAGTAAGAGAGGTGACTTGGTAGGGACTCGATCTCATGACTGCTTGCCCACTGACCCACTACTGCTGCACTCTCACGCTTCCTAGTTACGCCTGAAAATCGTTTCCCATGTTTGAAAAGCAGATTCGAGATCTGCGCCCGAAAATATACTTTTGGTTAGTGGTGTACTTCCTTAGAAACGGTCATTCGACCTGGAATTCTTCCCTTGTGACCTTAAGGGTTTTAAGAACTTTAAGTGCGAAAAAATTGCGAGAAGAGTGTCATAGCAGTCTTACGTAAATTGAAACATATCGTCTTCCAAAATCGAGCACACCAGTGACCTAGTTTTGAACCTCGACTAATTTCAAGGCATGTTTTCTTGAAATACTCACCTTGAGGATGAATTTCTGGACTGGTAGCTTGAACCTGGACAGATCTCCAGGTATGAGGGCTACCAACGGCATCAAATCAATATCCCCATCATGATCGATCATATTCGTGGCAGCATGATGCGTGTTATGCTGAAATTCGCCTATTTGAAGTCCCTTATTGGTTTTTGCTGCACTTGCAGCGAACAAGGAACCAGGTCATGGCACTTACCTTATTAACGAAAAACCAACACTATGAAAAAGGTAGGGCGGAAGTGGTGTAGTGGCAAGTGGCACGCTTACCACGCGAGCGGTCCGGGGATCAAATCCTGGGTCGTGAGTCGCCCGGGCCAACCAAGCCTTCCATCCCTCCGGGGTCGGTTAATTGGTACCAGACTTGTCTGGGAGGATAAAAACACTGACTTGTACATCGGCTGGCCCCCGCAAGTCATTGTATAGGCCACATCGCATTCAAACGCCACTACGAATGTACAAATGGAAGTAGAATGCGTGCCGCATCCCAAAAAGGGATTGATCAACGGCAAATGCTTTATCCTTTATCCTTTATGAAAAGGTAGGGAGCCATGCGCAAAGACTGCACGTTGGTAACGTCAAGAAAGCTTCAAACTGCTACTTTTCGAATCTGCACATACACAATGAGTTCCTAATTATTTTCGTCCTCTAGGGTAACCGGAGGTTAGAGGCCAGCATAAGCGAGGAGTCAAGAGTGTAGGCTGATGCCGGCACCTTTGAAAGCCGGAAGTGCGACCCCGCCGAGACTCAACCATGCCCTGCGAAACTGCACTATTCTTGGGACCTGCCATACTAAGAAAAACCATTATAAACGAAATAATTGAGAAAATTGTAGGCCCAGGTTGACAGTTCGCCTGTTGAAAGCCCGCCACCCAATGACGTCTGAAGTTCCAAAAAGTATCAGTGATAAAGCTAGGACGTCACCCGGAAGTGGCGCGCAGAACCCCCGCCCGAGTTCTGTGGTCAGTATGCGAGGGCTACCGAGGAGTGAACGGCCTCGGCCAAAGAAGCTAGTTCGAATAGGGACTCTGAATCGCTAACTGTGAGCAGAGGAAGAAAAGCCGCGCCTACCCTGCCCTCGCCAACCTCG